TCTCTGGTTGGAGTCTAGCAGAGAGCAGCAGGCGCGAGATTCGGGCGGGAGCCCTACCTGGCGGAGGCGGTGCGCGGTGTGGGCTGGAGCTAGCTGGGTCTGGTCCGAGTGCCCGCGGCGCCCGGTGTCGGAGCAGGACTGCAGGCTGGTGCGGGCGAGAGCGCTGCGCATAGCGTCTTGGAATCGGAGAGCAGGAAGGGCCGGGGTTCGGATCCCGCCCTCCTGTCATTTGACAGATGCAGAGTGTCCGGGACAGAAAGGAGACTTAGCAGAGTGAGTGGCTCCAGGCTGGACTCGACACATTTTCTAGTTCCCAGGCTGGGGTTGCGTTCTTACCTCTAGCTGCCTCTGAAGATGAGTTCAGGGACTGCTTGTGGACCTGGTCTTCACAACTACTCTGAAACAACCTTGAGACAGTTCCTGGGGGGGAGGACAAATGCTGCCCAGGCCAAGTCCATCCAGAGCTGGCCTGAGGGTGTATGTGTGCGCCTGGGGCGTAAAGGAGATGGGGGCTGACTGTCAGAGGGCTCCGGGTAGCCCAGGGCTTCCCTTTCGTGGGACACTGCCTGAGCCAAGTGCTGAGAATGGACTGAAGGGAAAGGAGCTCCGGAGGTGGGTCTCCCATGAAGGAGGAGCTTGTGGAGGAGGGCTGGGTGGGGTTGGGTACACAGCTCCCCATCTGACCTGCTGCTCACAAAACAGGGCCAGGAGAGGCTCCTCCCTCACCACCCTGGCTCAGGAATGTGGTGGGTGGCCCCACCCTGCCAAGGGTGAGTTGTTCCTACTTGTAGGAGTCTGGCCCCCCTGGCAGGTGCCCAGCCCTTGGGTCTGGTCTGAGACCTGCTGGAGTGGCCTCTAACCTGGGCCTAGTGTCTGGGCCTGGGGCAGTAGGTAGGGTGTGGCTTGAAGGGGGTTGGGAGGATGACTTAACTGCTGCAGCAGGAAGAGGAGGGAGAATGAGCATTGAGCCCGCAGCCCTGTCCTGAAGACCATCCTCACTCTGTTATGCTCAAAAAGAACCTTCTCACTGCTTCTTAGGGGTGGGGGCTAGAGTACCATTGAGGAGGGTGCGGTCCTCCTGCCTTGGCCTGGGGAAGGGCATCATAGGTGATACTGGCAGTGGTGGTTGGGACAGGTATGTGTGCCACCCTGGCCCTGATGGGGCGGCCCTGTCTTCCACAGACTCGTTTGTGAACAGCCAGGAGTGGACGCTGAGCCGCTCTGTGCCAGAGCTTAAAGTGGTGAGTGTGGCCTGGAGCCGGGCGGGCGAGGCTGGGCACCTCGGGGCCTGGACCTTGTTTTCCCTTTCTCCTCTCAGCTTGATGCTCCGGTTTCCTCTCCCCTGCCCCTTCAGCCTCAGCCTTTCTCCCGCCCGCCCCTTCTTTGCCTTCCTGCCTGGTCTCTTCCCTCAGGCCCTCTGACCTCCGCTCACCCCTTCCTCTCCTGCAGGGCATAGTGGGGAACCTGTCAAGTGGGAAGTCAGCCCTGGTTCACCGCTACCTGACAGGGACCTATGTCCAGGAGGAGTCCCCTGAAGGTGAGCGTCACAGGCCTAGCCTGGGCTCTGAGGCCAGCCACTCTGCCCCCCTCCCCCATGGGGTTGGAATGGGGGTGTCCATCTCCTGTCCTTCTCAGTCCCTTACCGCTTGTGTCGGAAGCTGCAGATTTCTTCTCTGCTTGGCCCCCTTGGGCTCTTTCTCCACACTTTGGTCCTGATCGCGCGCTCTGTCCTAGGGGGGCGGTTTAAGAAGGAGATTGTGGTGGATGGCCAGAGTTACCTGCTACTGATCCGAGATGAAGGAGGCCCCCCTGAGCTCCAGGTGATGCTCCTGCCCCCGGCCCAGGCCCTCCCCTGTGCCTGGTGCCCCTTTCTCGAGCTTGCTGGTTGGGACCGGGCGAGGTTGCGTGTCTGGAGAGAGGGGTCTACCTGCCCAGTGTGGGAGTTTGCTGGGGCTCAGGCGAGGGCGCTAATTCTGCTTGGTCTCCCCTAGTTTGCTGCCTGGGTGGATGCAGTGGTGTTTGTGTTCAGCCTGGAGGATGAAATCAGCTTCCAGACGGTGTACAACTACTTCCTGCGGCTCTGCAGCTTCCGCAATGCCAGCGAGGTGCCCATGGTGCTAGTGGGCACGCAGGGTGAGGCGGGGCACTGCAGGAGCTGGCAGAAAGCGGGAGGCCTGGGTGGGGCTGCATGGTGGGTGGGCAGGTGTGAGAAAGCTTCCAGCCCCTCCACTCTTTTCCTGGTGCTGACTGGGACTCTTAGCCCTTCCTGTGCTGCCCATAACTGGGGACTTGTCTGTATTTTTTGAGATGAATAGACAGAGACTGAGAGATTAAGAGAGTACTCATTTGCACTCAGTGAGGCAGTAGAAGGGATGAAATGTGGCCCAGACACCCCTGTTTTCAGCGCTCTGTATGTTCCACTCATGGGCCCTTTGCCCACCCACCTTTGGGCCAAATGCCCCCCTCCACTGTCCCAGCTTCTCAGCAAGTGGAGTGAATCCTACCCTCCCGCCTCCAACAGATGCTATCAGTGCTGCGAACCCCCGGGTCATCGATGACAGCAGGGCCCGCAAGCTCTCCACAGACTTGAAGCGCTGCACCTACTACGAGACGTGCGCGACCTACGGGCTCAACGTGGAGCGCGTCTTCCAGGACGGTAACTCGGGCGCAGGGTGGGAGTCGCTGGCAGGCTGGGGCCCCGGAGCGGCTGTAGGAAGGCTTCCGGCAAGCAGGGCTGTGTGTTCTGGGGGGGCGGTGCTAAGCTGGGCTTTTCCCTTCTCCCCAGCGGGTAAAATTGACTCTGCTGTCCCTTGCAGTGGCCCAGAAGGTAGTGGCCTTGCGGAAGAAGCAGCAGCTGGCCATCGGGCCCTGCAAGTCACTGCCCAACTCACCCAGCCACTCCGCAGTGTCCGCCGCCTCCATCCCGGCCGTGCACATCAACCAGGTGCGGACAGCCCATCCTCACCAGTCCTGTCTCTGTGCCTCCCCCCGTCTTTGCTGGCCTCCTCATCACATCCACCCACCTCCCTCTGGTCTCCCAGGCTTGCATGTGGTTTGAAAGCGTGGGCTCAATTTCCATTTACCCTGCACGACCGCCTTGACCTCACCTCTGCCCCGTGGTGCCTACCCTGTCCTGCTCCCCACTGGTCTCGCCCCCAGCCACGTCAGTTGAGATGACATTTGCTCTCCTTAACACCGTTAGGGTTGTCTCGTGGCTGCTTCCCATTGGTGCCACACTCAGCAAGCACAGGGAGGGGGGAAAGTTCCTTCGGGCCTGCTCGGCACTAGCCCCTGGCAGGACTGGGGAGACATGTAGACCCGACCCCCTCTCCCCTGTGGCTGCGCCTCCTCCATGTGCCTGTGGCTAGCAGTGCCGCCTTATATGAGAGTGGAGGAAGCCGCCAATGGCCTCGAGCCCGCTCAGCACTGGTGTTTGCCCTCTTAGTCCTCTGGGAGGGAGTGTTGATGTTTTAGAAGGGTAGCGCTTGTCCCAAGGGATGAATGGCTCTCGGTGACATGTGGGGTTTTGGGGCCGGGAGTGCAGGGGCTTCTGAGCCAGGTCTTGCTGGTGCTCCTCTGACGTTACCACTTGGACACCTGTCCACACCTGGGCCTGCTGCCAGGTTAGCTTATTACTCTCAGCATGGGAACCAGCACCTGGTTCTGAACCTGCATTCCCTACTCCACTGTCCTCTGCTGAAAGCTCTGGACCAGCCAGAGGTGGAGTGGTTATGCCAGCGGCCACTGTGCTTTTTTTCTGCCAGCGGCCATCGTCTTTCCAAAGCCTGCCCTGGCCATGGCTAGCCTTCCAATGACAGCCTGGTTGCTTTTCAGAGACCCTTCCCTGTAGGGCTTGTGAGCAGACTGCAGCATTCCACCTGGAGGAAACCTGGAGCAATGACAGGTCTTTTTCTCCATGTCTGTGAACCGCCCCACCATGCACTGATAGAGCTCAGGGCTTGTGCAGCTCAGCTCTGGAGTGGGCCCTGTCCCGAGGCACTGCTCTCCTTTGGTCCAGGCTAGCAACTGCTCCAGTGAGGTAGTTAGGGGTACAGGCCCCCTGGTTGTACTGTGCATGTTTCCCAAGTCCTGGAGTAGATACTCTTTATTTTGTAATTTTTTTGGTAAGGCATCTTTTTATAGCATACCATGCTCTTGCTGTCTTCATCCTTTGATCTCATTGGTCTTTCTCTTCCTTTTACTTCTCTGTTCCTCATCTGCATCCCACTCTTACTTGCAGTCTTAGCTCTGTTCAGCTCTTTGCCTCAGCATCCCAGAATCCCCTTCCCTGCCACATACGTGCTGGAAGCAAACCTCAGCCTCCCACAGTACCCTGAGCCCAACCCCGTCCCCCAGCTCCTGCCTCCTGCACCCTAAACATATACCACTGACTCTGAGGGATTCATCCAGGTTGACCTGCTACCTCCTTCCAGACTGCCTGCCAGTTAGGGCTCCCCGATTTGCTCACTTCCAGGCTTCATCACCAACCTCTGCCTGCTAGCCTCGGCCTCTTTTGTGGCTCCCTGGCAGACACGGAAGCACCCCTGTGGGGCCCGGATGAAACTTCGTTGCCCTGGTGGGGCAGCCCCAGCACGCTGACTTTCCCCCGGGACCATCTGTAGGAACTAGTGGCCCCTTTGCTGCCCCGTGAGCCCGGCCAGGTCCCCGTTACCGCTGGGGGTCCCGGTGCCCGCCGGCTGCCCTCGCCCGCCCCGCCCCCGCCCCCGAGCCACCCTCAGCAGCCCTCTCTGTCCTTAGGCCACGAACGGGGGCAGCAGCGCCTTCAGCGACTACTCGTCCTCAGTCCCCTCCACCCCCAGCATCAGCCAGCGGGAGCTGCGCATCGAGACCATCGCCGCCTCCTCCACCCCCACACCCATCCGCAAGCAGTCCAAGCGGCGCTCCAACATCTTCACGGTACGTGACCCGCCCTCCTCCCCCCACCCAGCTGCCTTCACTGAACAGGCAGGGCGGAGCGCTGAGCTCCCAGCCAGGAGGGGCATGGGCAGCCCCGAGTCAGGAAGATGCCGCCTGCAGCTCTCTCGCACACAGACACACACAGCTCCCAGAGGCTCCTTACTGGTGCCCTCGGAATCTTCCAGACAGTTCCTCTGAGCCACAAGGGGCCTCTCGTCGCGACCCTCGCCCTGTCCCCGCAGAGCCTCCCGCCCTCTGCTGCACACATTCACTCTGCCCCGCCGCCTCCCGCTCTCCTGGTCCCCTAGGGTGTCTATGTCAGCTCGAAGGGATCTTTGGACTCACCTGGCCTAACTCCCCTGACCCCTTTGATTCAACAGCTAATGAACCGGCGGCCGGAAGGCTGTTTGCCCAAGGCGACACAGAGGGTTAGCTGGCCGAGCTAGAATCAGAGCCCAGGCCTCCTCGTCCGCCTTCCGGCTCTTTTTGCGTTACCCCACTGCCGAGGGGAAAATTCATGCTTTCCACCCACCGCTGTGATTGGTTTAACAAAGGCTTAGCCATCTTTTCCTGGGCTTCACCACGCTGCCTCGTTCCTCCCTCTCAGGTTTGTCCTGTCTCCTTGTGAGCTACCCACTCACCCCCCTCACAAACCTCACACCCCACGCCCGGGGGCTGATGTGCCTTCCCTGCCAAGGGCTGGCCCCTCGGCTCTTAGCTCCCCTGAGCCCGCTGTCTCTTCGCTCCCAGTTTCTGACACACGGTGCCCACCCAGACCCCAACCCTCCAGCTGGGTTTTGGCTGGACTGTTCCAGGAGTCTTGGGCCAGACGAAGGTGGGTGAGCCACCCGTGTGGACTGTCACGAGATCACCTGCCTTCCGCGTCACTCCATGCGCCTCTTTCTGAGAGCAGGGCTTGGCTCTCAGCCTGGGCCTGAGTCCCGCCGGCCCGGCCAGACTCCCGGGACCCTGCCCAGACAGAGCCGGTGCGCCCCGGCCCTGCTCATCCATCCTCGCCTCTGCCTGCCCAGCACACGTCTCCCTCCCGGCTGCCTGCCTCCGTCCCCCCGAGCCTGCCACGCGCCCCCGTGGCCGGCCGCCCGTGCCGACCGCCCCTCTTTCTGCTGACAGCTGCTGCTGCTCATTGCACTCATCCAGCCCTGACCCTGCCCTGACTCTCAGCTTCTTGTTTCCGTCCGTGCCCGTTGAGATGCTCAGAGCGTTGGTGCCGCCTGCTTGTGTCCACACCTGCTGCGGCTGCTGATGCCGAGGAGCCCTTGGGTGCCTGTGTCATGGTGGCGGCCGTCAGTGCCCGGGCACCTTGCTCCCTGACATCGAGCCTCAGTCATCTGCTGCCTCAGTTCCATTCTTAACCGTCCTCTTCCCTAGCTGGCCAGCCCTGTAGCAAGCCCAGGGCGTCCTCCGGCCTGCGGCCCCCTCTACCCACCCATATGCAGCCCCCTGGCCTCCTCGCCACGGTGCCTGCGTCCCCGCCCTCCTGTGCTCTCTGCTGCCTGCCTCGACTGCGCTGCCTCCCCTGCCATCCTTGCTGCTGCGAGCTCACGGCACGGCCTTCCCTCCAGGCCCTTCCATCCGCTCCATCTTCACAGTGGCGACCTTATTTTTCTTTCCATTGTTTCCATGGTGACTTCACTTTCACCATTGTCGCTGAGGTGGCCTCAAGACACGTCTGTCTCTATGGGTGTATCTTGGGACCTCCTCTCGCATTACTGCTTTGGGGGCCACCCCTCTTCTCCCCCATCATCGTCCTCAGCAGAGTCACACCTGCTCGAGGGTCAGCCTCCTGTGTCCTGCCTGCTCCGTGGCTGGTAGCCCTCCCCCCCCCCACCGGGCATGGTTGTGATGTCCCTGGTCTCTCCCTGTGACTTCATGTACTCATTTGTCACCACTCTCGCCCTGTTCCTGTCTGTGGGGGGAGGCGCCCCTCAGGGCTCCCAGGGGTCCTCTGGCGGTTGGGGCCTCTTGGCTCACAGCCTCCCTGGGGTGGGCTGCATCCCACTGCCCCGACCGGCTCTTCTGCCTGGGGACCTGGTGGCAGCAGTCCCATTCACCGTCCTCACTGGGCCGAAAAGGCAGAGGGCTGTGGTGGTCCAGGCCGTGGCACCCAAGGGGATCGGGGCAGGTGCGACTGTGGAGCTGCCGGGCAGCCGTTCACTCTCCGGCGGCTCTTGGTCCAGTTCTCCCTGCTGCCTCTGGCTGTGCTTTCTCCCACACTGCAGTTGCGGCCCTTTGTCCCTTGCTGTGCCCTTGGCTCCTGGCAGCCTGGGCGAGCAGGAGGGATGGGGCCTGGGCTGCTGAGTGGCGAACGCTCCCTGCTGAGATGGACTGCTGGGCCTGCGTCTGCCCTGCAGGTGCGGCCACTG